CAAAGTATTTTACGTAAATTTCCATTCAGTATAGATGAAATAATGCTTGGACATAGCTAAATGAGTAAAATAATGGTACAAACTACAAACTTTGAACAGTGAGCCGTGTGCCTTCGCCACTATTAATGTCTATTGTATTGTTCATTGTTGTCAGTTGTCAGAATGACATTTCGAGTACTTTATGCCTTGATTCTGTAGTTTTCTTAGTGAGATGCCGCATTTGATCGAATTAGTGTATGTTAAAATTGTTACTTTAGTTAATGGGGGATGCAAACAAAAAGATATTGTGCATATCCATCAATCCACTGTTCTCGTATCATGAAGCGATACAATGAGACTGGGGAGTAAAAAAAGCGGCCTGGCCAAGAATGTAAGAGATGGCCAAGATGCCAAGAGATGACCAATATTTGAAAATTCTATCTTTGCAAAATCGCACGCTTACAGCTCCGCATCTCAGAAATAATTTACTGAGCACACGACAAGTTAACATAAGTATCAATACAGTAATAAGAAGACTCAAAGAAGTTGTTTTAAATCCAAAACGACCTGCCAGAGTTCCTAGGCTTCTCCCACGTCACAAATCTAAATGGGAACTAATTGCGATAGCCCATGTCAATTGGAATGAACAAAATAGGGGAAAATTTATTTTCACAGATGAAACAAGAATACAGTTATGGAAACCAGATGGACGTGGTGGAGTAGGTATACAGAAGATCTGGAGGACGTTTCGCAGAATGTAATTCTGTACATAGGATTAACGTGGTTTCTGTCAAAGAGACGCTCATCAAGCTCAATTGTTTCAATTGGAGGTATACTGGGACATAAATAAGTTTCTGGTACAGAGTTGTAGGACCATCCTTCATAATCTCGTAGGTTTCTAAATTGAGAAAATCTAGAGGTTTACTAACGTATTCGTTTTTGTCTAAAGCAATAACAGTTCTTCAGTTTGTTCTCGTGAATAACAGTTCGACCTTTGCCTGGTCTCGTGAATATAACGGCATTATCATTAGCTTTCTGTTTAATTGATTTTGCAATTGTCATTTCATTATTGGAATGGATTTGATCAATAGGTTCAGACTTCAATATATTTGCAGCCACGACTATGAAATATTACATTTTGGTGAGAAGGGTTTGAAACTCAATGTTTCGAAATGCTTGGAAGTGAATAGATTTTAGAATTCTGAAAATTCACTTATGACTAAATAGAATTGGTTTCTTTTCTTCTTCTGAATCTGTTTTCTAAAGTGAGAGATGTTAATCAGTTTATTACATGCCCAGTTAATTTTCTTCAATGATGTTTAAATTTTTAACTAGTTTTTATCTAACCTCAGAATAAATTATGAATCTTTAAGTGGGTGGAAGATTATATGATATAAGGCACTTATTAGGCAGGATTTAGTAGTATGGAAACTCTTGAGGAAGCTATTGTATAGCAAAATATGTGTTGCGGTTTTTTATACCGTTCAGTGAAAATCTCACATATGGAGTTTTACTTGAATATTCTCAGCTGAATGCATTGATATACGAATGAAGTTTAAATTAATTTTATTAAAGACACAAATCTTAATAGCATAACTGCCAGTTTTATGGCTGTCATTTTTTTCGTNCCCATCAAAGGGTTCAAGAGAAAAACCAATAATGGCGGAAAACAAGATGACCCACATAAGGAATTTTAAATAGTTATAACTCGACAATGGTTAGGGATAGCTTGGTGGTGCTCAAATTCATGTTGTGAAGATCAACCGTGCTTTCAATGACGCATTGAATGAAATAAACATAATTAGGAACATGATATAAAAGCTTGTCAAGAGAGTATTACCTATGTAGATAAACAAGGATACAATATGTAACCAAATTTCGATATTACATAATTCTGATATTTTTTAAATAGGTAGGTCTCGCGACAAGATTTTATATCATATAAATTGTGTGATTTTATAAATTGGTTGGTTTGGTTTAATTAAAAATAAATAATTTTTTGATCCTGTCAAGAAAAGATTGATCTTGAAAGTATTTTTCAATATGAATTTATGTAGAATAAACATAAAAAAATCGTTGCTCGTTGCTCTCAAATGAAATGTTAAGAGTCGTACCGAATATTTGTACTCAACCTCTTGAACTCTTTAGAGATCTTCGCATTAATATTCAGTTTTCTTGGTACCGAAGCAAATGTTGGAAAATTCATTGGGAAAATGAATCGAGGGGCACATGTTTCGGCCACAAGAATTGTAGCAGGTTGGTTAGCGCTTGGTGGTTCAAGCCCGACGGTCGAAAAATCGCTTTTAACCGTGTATCTTCCAACCCGTACTATGAATCACACGTCATAAGGGAATATCCCGTTAATCCTTGGCTAGCACAAGCTTCAACTTCTGAATGTTGTCGTTTGATGAGTGATTAACAGGGAAACATTTTTTTTTTCAGATATCAGGGTTATCATTCACATCATGTACATTCCCAAGTGGAAAGATAACATGCAAAGAGGCTGGGTTACTTTTACTGTGGTGGTATTCTAGCACTTAAAACAAATCCAACCCTTCATCATTTTCTTTCAATTTGATACCTATAGAAAATAATTATTGATGATGTTTCTATATCTGAGTTGCTGACTCATTATTAATCAAAGACGTTTTCCATCGCGTATGCCAAAGTATTACATTTATAGGCGAATTTTTGATACCTCAGACTAAAATTCTTGCAATTTTCGTAGGCAACTGTATTTTTCGTAGTTTATCTATCACAAACATATAAAAAAATTAATTTTGTCTCGCTATAATATTAATGCAGAGTCTATGACATTTGGCGTTTTATAATTCAATTTTTGAATTCTAGAATCATTTCCAGAACTACGATTATTAAAAAAAAATGTGTGAAATTAATTTCATTTAATTAATTTGTGTATAATTTAAAATTACTTTTCATTTGATGTATTACAAGAACTGAAAATTAATCTAACATTCTGAAATGAGAAAAATACATGGTATGTACATTACATATGACACTAGAAAAATTGTTATGGCCATTAACCCATAACAGACTGGCGTTACCATATGGCAATGCTTATCTACCTGACATCAATACTGTTTTTTGAAAAGAACATAATCAATTTTTACAGTTTTCTGCTATGGTGCAGTTCACGAATTGTTTACGTTACTTCTAAATAGTGTGATTGAATATTCTAGCGTGTTATATTTGCTGACTGCAAAATGGATATAAACTTCATGTAGGTACAACAAAATATCTTCTGTTATGGTCTATAGTAGCATGCACATCTAAATAAATGATGATTTTCCATACAAATAGCACTTTTGACTGAAATAATCCGCTAATTAGATATTTAATTGATTCCTAACCTCAGAATTGCCATATGGCAATGCTAGGCTTCACAGGCTGCATGTTTATATGATGTTACTTTTTGTTGTTAGAGATGGGTTAACTCTGGAAGAAGCATTGCAAATGGCTTATTCAGACGACCTCGATGTNAAATTGTGCTGGTGAACAATGCAAGTCAATTATGAGAACAATGTGTATCAAATGTGGCGTAGGGCTTTGCCTAAAATGCAATTTATTGTTCCATACCCGTTTGTAAATCTTCCTGACAATTCTGACATTTTTTCAATAAAAACATTTCATTCAAGTCGTTATTTTACTAATTCTGCACCAGAAGACCACATCCACCCATTGCAATGCCTAGCATTGCCATATGGCAACCAGCAATATTTTGAAGAAAAATGCATATTTCAATAATTGGTTGTTATTTTCTTGATCACTAGAATTAATTGAAGCACTTTCACTTGAAATTATCATTTTTTTGAAAAAACAAGAAAACTCCGTCCCTGATGGGTTAACAATACATGCTAGACTTTCCATCTTAGATTTTTTAAGTTGTTCATTCATTGTTGTAAAACTTCGAATAAAATCAGATCGAACTCGAATTTTCAGCCATAAAATATGACTGGTACATTTTGAAGAAGATACACAAACATGACGTCTTCCAATAGGGAATTCCGTCATATTGAGAGGGCTATTCGCAAGGGCTAAATTTGAGCCCATTTGTTCAGTAAATGATCGACCAACACCCGTACATCGATAAAACGCAAGATCTACAGAAAACATCTCCGCTGTTTGTGAGACTGTGCAGGAGAATCCGAGGCAGTCAATTTTGCGCGTCGCTCACAAGGTTTTGGCCTTTCGCAGACCCATACAACATTCAACTGATCCAGGAACTGAAGGTAAACGACCATAAACAACGATGTGTGTTCGCTGAATGGGCTCTGGAGCAGTTGGAAACTGACCCTAATTTTCATCTAAAAATCATCTTCAGCGATGAGGCCCATTTCTGGATGAATTGGTACGTGAACAAACAAAATTGTAAAAGTTGGGGCGACACCAATCCACATGAGTCTATATTCCTTCGAGAAAGACGTTGACCAGGCCGTCATTGTCAACGGCGAGCACTCTAGGTCAATGATTACCAATTTCTTTTGGTCTGAATTGGATGATCTGGAACCCAACGACATGTAGGTTAAACAGGACGGAACTAAATACTACACAGCTCATGCCACATTGGATATTCTGCACGAGCGATTTGAGCCACCGAGATTGTACGATTTGACCCCGTTAGACTTTTTCTTGTGGGGTTTTCTTAAGTCGCAGGTGTGCTTTATGTTAATAAGCCACAAACCACTGAGGTCCTCAAAGCCAACATAACCCATGCCATCTATCAAATTCAGCCTGATTTATGCGCCTGAGTCATGGAAAATTGAAAGTTTCGCATACGCTCCGACGCCGTGTCGAACATTTTAACGATGTTATATTCCACACATAATCGCATCAATAGGTATTTCAAACGAATAAAAAAAAATTGATATCTCTCACACACACATTGTTTTGTTTAAATTTAAATATTTACATATAGGAAGCGCCTAATGAAAGATCCTATTTGAATAAATTCGATAGACACTCTTCAAAACTGAAAAAAGGAAAAATACTTCTCAACACACCTTATTAATCAGTTTTCCTCTCTGCGAAGCATCCATGGACCTCCATTCTGAACCTCTTAAAAAAGCAGCTTTAGCGGCTGCAACTGCTTTGTCTACATCTGCCTTGTCAGCTTCAGCAATTTCGGCAATGATTTTTTCAGTGGAAGGATTGATTACTTTGAATGTCTTGTTACTCACGGCATCAACGAATTCGTTATTGATAAATAACTGAAAAATAAAAAACCTAACTATTTGCATATAGGCAATATATAACTCAAAAACTCGTACTCAACAATGAAGCATTTTATGTTTCCTTAGAATTTGCAGAGCTAATAGATATTTTGTATAAGTATGGTAAAAGTAAAAAAAAAATTTTCAGTTCCATAATACAGAAATTTACTTGTTGCGTATTTGTAAAACTGTGTTGTGAAAATCTCACAATAAAGTGTTCATTGAGTTAATAATTTTATCTATATATTATAGCATGAAATTGGTGAAAAAGTTAACTTTCTTACCTTGTTGTATTTCACTTCTATGATTCCAGGGTCCATGTTCAAAGTCAAAGTTGATCTCCAAGGAATAGGATTCAAGTTAATGTATTAATATGTTTTATATATCAGTGGTATCAGTGTTATATATCAGTGGTATTATTCAAGTAACAAGTAACGAATAATCTTATCTTAATACGAAGATACTTTTATTTCGTCGTCTGTTGAACTCGGAATATTTGATAAAGCAGACCCGGATGAGTTGCGTTTGTTATTGTTGAAAGCGTTTTGTGTAGGTACAGATAATGAACCGCAGAAATTCTGCAGAAATATGATTTCCCATTTAAATATGAACTCTCAAAAACCTATAAATTTGATTACCGTTCATATATACGAGAAAATTACGTAAAACGCATAAACTCGAAAAGCTCAGAAACGTTGTATCGAGTGGAATTTTGAGCGCAAAAGCATAGAATTAGCGGGAAGTTACAGGGATGGCCTTTAGGGTCAACCGTTTTCCAATTTTTTTTTTCTGCTGACATGATTATATTTCTTGAATAAAAATCTTCTTTTTCTGAAATAGATCATAAATTAAATAAATAAATTAGAAATATTTATTTAAAAACTATTAAAATCAGTAGGCATTGAAATTCTACTGCGAATACTGTGAGTTACAACAGTGTTTCTCAATCTGTGGTCGCGACCCCTAGGAGGGTCACCGTCCTCGGCCATCCCAGTGCAAAGGGCCTCGCCCTTCAATGTCGAAAATCTTTTTTAAAAGATGGAAAATCCAAAGTACACACCATGAGCATTTCTATATGAATAATATATTAGAAAATTGTCAACTTAAAGATATTCCACTCTTTGGCGCACGAAAGCATATGAATGAAAAATTCGTGAATATACAGTGCATTCCATTTAAAACGAGCCCCCTTGAATGACTTTTGGTACAATGTCTTTCAGGAAAAATAAAAAAACACGCCAACAATAGTATACAGGGGGACACAGTTTGGCATATTCACATTTGATGTTACTTTCCCTATCGTACCCCCAGAGCATGTCATCATTTTTTTTTTAATTGGATCACCCTATATTGTTTCGCAGTATCAGATTCTCCATGATGAGCAGATTTCAATAAAGTATAATACATATCAATGGTCTGAAGCTTATGGTTCGGGAGCCACAAATTATTCGAGTTGAAAACGAGCCACCCTGAATCATCATATTCATCAAGCTTGTTAAAGCAAATAGCTCCCAACCAGCAATATTGTTTTATAATTTCATGGTGCTGCAACCGTTTTATTTTGTTGTTATTTTATNAAGAAAACATTTTGAATACTTTTTTATTTTATTCTTATCATTTTAGGCTGCATTATATTTTAAAAAGCTTACTTGGAATTACTAAAAAACTGTTATAAAATTGTATTTCAGTTATTTTATTTACGAATAGTGTTGGAAAATTTGTATAGTAACTGCCGAAAGTAACTGTTTTGTAGTGTTTGTGAAAGGCCTTACAAAATATTAATAAAGACTATAATGTTTTATAAAACGGTACCAATTTCCTATTTATAGCTGTTTTATAAACATATTGAAAACATTTCTGGGAGAAGTACAGTTTTTTAATTTGTTTCTCCGAAACGTTTTCACAACCAATATAAAATTGCTAGTTGGGCTCAAATTTGCTCATGATTGATGTATTAATGTTGGGCGATTGCCTTGCAACAAATAAAGAATTTTGCTCGTCTGAGTTTAAAAACGTAAAGACTTCTTTGTAAGTAAATTTTGTATTTATCTTTACCCTAGATACAACCAATTTATATATAATCAAACTCGTTTTGAACTTATGCGAGTTCTCATTAGTAAGTTAGTACCTGAACTACCGAATGCAATTTCTTCGAAACTTGATGTTCTGTAACTATAGATTTATCTTCGAATTCCTTTTTACACTCTTCAAGAATCATCATTTATTGCTTCTTAGCTATATAGGGTCGCTCTTTTGTGTCAGACGTTCGTGGTTTCCTGTCTGGTGGGCCTATACATTTATGGGGCATATATCTTGGTTTTATACGTACTTGTGATACTGACCCCATCACATGATCTGTTTAAAATCAGATTTTTCGTTAATCACCTGTCGCCCCCATACGAACGACAACTCTCAGAAGTTGAGAAATTTGTGCGAGCTAAGAAATAACGAGGTCTTACCTTTTAACGTGTGATTCCTAACACATGATACTCCATATAATTTTCCATATCATTTGGTAACTGCAAAAAGAAAAGTAAACGAATAAAATTGATAATGAGATTCATAACCAAGATCAATACAAACGTAACCCCAATAAAGTAGTCATTCCATATCCTCAATATTTCAAGTATTTTACCTCAAACAAACGTTTCAAGTTTAATACCTATCAATAAATATGGCAACATACTCACATCAAAGTGGTCTTCACAAAAATAAAGTGGCGAATTCGTGACAACGTCGTTCGGGTTTCGCCGTGCGAGCTTAATCCCTTTGTTGGGTGTTCTTATTAACGTGTTTTTACAATGCGGTATTGTCTATCCATTCCCAATTGGAACGGCAATAAAAATAAGAGCGCTACGAGTGCTTTTATGTTCAAAGCGTTCCTGGTCCAGTCATAAACATTTCTGCCCTGTGGCTCATAGTCACCCAGATAGTTAGTAAACGTGCTATCAAATGTAGTTGAGGAATAAAGGCTCGGCTAGCTGGACTGGCTGAATACTAATTATTTGGCCGTTTCACAATATTTCTTTTATATTTCACGAACAGCATTTGAATATATTTTACCGCAATTCAAACTTTCCAACCCTCCAATTTCCTTTGCATTTCTGTCCATAAGGTCAGCTAACTGTAATATAAACAGATTATTAAGAATTTCATTTCATCGGTACCGAAATAAATATTTCAAAATCTACAATGGATTCTTGGATATAATATTCAAAAAATTATAGGGAAGTTTAAACAAACTTAATGGCCAATTTCATCAGTAACATCTAGCCCACTTTTATTTCATTATACTAAATACATCCTATATTACGTGACCTAAAATAATGAGAAGGAAAAAAAATATTCGATGTGTGTATCAATATTTCAATTGGTCTGGTATGGTATAGAAAATATTGAATTACACAATTTTTCAAGATTGGAATTTTTCACAAGCAAAAAAAGAGCTTGAAAAAAGTTAAAAACATTGAACTTTTGATCGAAGAAATTTTTGAGAAGACAACCTTGCAATTTTTCATATTTAGGTATACGGTCACCTCAACATGATCGTAAATGAACTACGTATTATAGTAACTTTTTTAAAACATTTCATTGGAGCTATATGAGACACTGGAAGGCCTGTATTTATTAAAGATTTAACGAACTCTATTTAGACAAGTTCAATATCTATCAATATTTATCTTTAACGATAACGGACGCTAAGCCATGCTTATGAGTTTCACTCAGAAACCATTGTTTTTGTATGTTTTTTATGAGCTTATATTTAGCTTACAATGGTTGCAAGTATGCATGTATACAGGGTGTTCCTTAAACACATGCTAATATTTAAGGAGGTAATTCTTAGACCCATTTTAAGAAAAAAACTTCCTATGGACGTATGTCCTTTTCTAAATACTTATTCAAATCCATAAGTAAAATAGATGAATTTTTCGAAGGTAAAAACTAGAGTCAGAAGTGTGTGTGCTCATTTCTTTTCGAGGCGAAAGCTACAGGATGACCTGTTTGTAGGAGACCACACCCTAAACCTTTACTTGTATGACAAAAGGTAAATTTGGGTAAAAATTTTTTAGAGTAGGTGATTTTGAATTAATCGCTTTCAATGAATGTTGTTTTCTATGCATGCTGATTCTCTTGGTTGAATTTCTTAAAATCCTACTCAGTTCTGAAAAATTAGAGAAAAATTTCACAAGTCAGGAATTTTGATCGCCAATATTATCTTTACTAGGCTTTACACCTTTTGCTGACATAATTTGTCCAAGAAATTTCATTTCTTTCTATTTATATTGTTATTTCTTGAAATTAAGTTTGACATTATTTTGAATGTATTATCATGAGAGTTTTCATCAAAACCTGATATTTTATAGTGTCAAAATATATTTCTGTCCCTGGTATATTGCGAAATATTTCAAAAACTGTTTTGGAATATTTCTGGAGTACTATACAAATCCCAAAGAGGATCTCTATTGACTCTGTATCTTCCAAAAGGTGAGGTGTATTGAATGTGCATAAGTCTGCACTCTTATCATCTAATTTTAGTTGCCAAAATCCATCTTTCATATCCATAACAAAAAATACTTTTCCAGTAAGTCTACTAACAATATCGTTACTTGTGGGAATAATGAAATGTTTTTCTCCATTATAATTTTTATATTTTTCAGATTGTGGAAGGTAACAATTACCCAAAAAAAGGTCGATAAAAAACTGATTTTTTCCTCCACAAAAAATGACTTTCGTTGAAATGAAATGTTCTCTTTGTTGATTGGTTTTGGATCAATACAAAGCCTGAGGGATCTATCTGGTTTTTCTACGATTATCAAACTATTCATCCAATTGGAGGAATAACCAACTTTACTATATAATGCAAATTTTCAAATTAAATGAATAGAACATAATTCAAGAATCTTACCTCTTCCTTCAAAAACTTGTTTATATACTTCATGAATGTTTGTTGTTTTATTGTGGCAGAACATTTATTTCATTAACCTTTGTATAATTAAATTCAAATTCAGACAATCTTGAAGACCCAAAATTGGCTCGGAACTCAAGTCAACAATAAATTTGATTTGCTGGACTATATCTTTGAAATGGAATTTCAATGTAATTGCACCTAAGGGTTTGAAACGAAATGTTACCATAAAATACCTAAGTTGCAATGCAGGGCTTCAAAATTGGATTAGGAATGATTTGTTTGAGCTGTGAAATAGGTAAAATTCTACCGACACTAGCAAAATCAAGCTAAAATTTCAATTTACAATTTTCAATTGTGACTATTTCATACCATGAATTCAATAGCAGAGTCATCTTGCTCTCCTTCCTGAATGCAGTAACAAGAGTTACCCTCTTCCTAGAATAGGAAGAGAGTAACTGTCCTTTCTAGTGTCATTGAGCCTCATGTAGTCTACGCAAAATCTCGTCGATCCATCTTTCTTTGTAACTAATACAACAGGT